ATAATTAGTCATATTGTAGCCCGATTCAGTATTAAAACGATTTTTGGTTATATTGGTATGATTTATGCGATGTTATCGATAGGATTATTAGGTTTTATAGTTTGGAGTCATCATATGTATGCGGTTGGTTTGGATGTGGATACGCGTGCTTATTTTACGGCGGCTACTATGATAATTGCCTTACCCACTGGAATAAAAATATTTAGTTGGTAGGCTACTATTTATGGTGGATTATTACATTTTACTACACCTTATTTATTTGCATTAGCATTTATAATATTATTTACCATTGGAGGATTTACTGGAGTGATCTAGGCCAATGGATCAATTGATTTAGCATTACATGATACCTATTATGTGGTAGCTCATTTTCATTATGTATTATCAATGGGAGCAATTTATGCCTTATTTGCTGGATTTTATTATTGGATTGGTAAAATCAGTGGTTATAATTATAATGATCAATGGGGTAGGATTCATTTTACCATTTTTACCATTGCTATCAATATAGTTTTTATGCCGATGCATTTTATTGGTATGAATGGTATGCCACGTAGAATTCCAGATTATGCCGATCTTTATTATTATTGGAATTCTATTATCAACATCGGTTCTATTCTTACCTTATTTTCCTTAATTATTTTTATTTTATTATTATTATTATCCATATTTAATCCTATTATTAATTTATCTAATACTTTTAATAAATCGATGATGGTCAATGGGGTAGGATTCATTTTGGGGCTCCTGATTTATATGATATTTGCCTTAATAATGGCACTGATCTTTCTTTGCTCTTCCTATTTCAGTCTTAGGATTTTTATTATTATTCCAATGGATTTTTATCTTTTATTTACTTATGATACCTATAATTACTTTAAAGACATTAGTTATCAATTTATCCATCGATTTATCTATTGAACATTCCTTTCCTATTGCTCTTCCTGTTTCCTTTTCATTCCTACCTATAAAATAAATAAATAATAATAATGGTGATCGCATCGACCTCGAAATCTAATATTATAAAGAATGAATAATAACAAGAGCCAAAACTTATAATCTACGTGCCCACGGCTGCTCGTATAGTTCTAGAAAATGTGCATTATTAATAAATCAAATATTATATAAATTATTCCAATGATTTTATAGGTTCTAATCTAACTAACCACCTAAAAATGGATGATGTCCTTTCAGTCTTGAGACCGTACTAAGTAGGTTAGATATAAATTACCGATCATTATTCAGTCCCTTCCTGTAATTGATCGATTTTATTCGTCTCCTATTTGGCTTTGACCACATTTACTTTATTAATTATTAAATTATTTATTGGTTTTATTTTTATCTTTTATTAATCCTGTTATTGCTCTAATTGATTGGATCGATTTGGTCTAGTTATTCCATCGATTTCATTATTTTACTCCACCGATTAATTTGATCTTGAGCAGTATTTCAGCATTTATTTTCAATTGATTTTCCTAATTTAGCTATTAACATTTAATTTACATTTTTATTTATTGTTATAATTGAATATTTCACTGCTCAAATGATTAGTTATTCAATCAATTCTTCTATTCTACGATCAATTGATTTATATCAATAATACTTATAATCACTATAACTTTACTTTTCCTAAGGGAACACCGTGTATCTTATAGATTTTTAATACCTAATATGTTACTGGTGCCAATACTAAGGGGAATTATGATAATAATAATTCTAATAATTAGATATAGTATGGGAAGGAGTTCGGATAAATCCATTAAATACGATGTAGTCAAATTGGTTTGACAGCTGACTGTAAATCAGTGGAATATTCCCATGTAGGTTCGAATCCTATCATCACGATCGAGATTACCCATAAATCTATTGAAGAATTAAAATAATCTTAAGAATTAGTGATGGTGTAAATAATAGG